CAAAGCCCTGAAGCCCTGGCCCTGAAACCTCTAAACCCCGAACCCCTAACCCCTAACCGCCAAACCCCTGCTAAACCCCAAAAACCCCTTAAACCCTGAACCCGAACCCTAAACCCTAAAACCCTAAATCCTAAACCCTAAACCCTGAACCCTAAACCCTAAACCCTAAACCCTAAACCCTAAGAGCCTTGAGCTGGAAGGATGGGATCGGCGTCTGAAGTGCTACACGGAGAACGTCAGAGGGAAGTTTCGCGCCACCTGAGATCTGAGTTTAGGGTTTAGGGTTTAGGGGTTTAGGGGTTTAGGGTTTAGGGTTTAGGGTTTAGGGTTCCTGAAAACTATGGGGGTGCAGGGTTTAGGGTCTAGGAACAAGGATGATGTTGTTCTTTCTCAACCTAAACCCTATAAGCCCGAATGCCAAAAAATGCAGGCTCAACCCCAACCCCTAAACCCTAAACCCTAAACCCTAAACCCTAAACCCTAAACCCTAAACCCTAAACCCTAAACCCTAAACCCTAAATGCCCTCGGAAACACTCCGTAAGACCAAACCCGGGGACCTCCCGCCAACTGACACTCTCCCCGTCTGGTCGGGTCGGTGATCGAGGGCGCGCTGGCGGAGAAAAGGACTCAGGGAAGGTTCAGGGTTTCGGGTTAGGGGTTTAGGGTTTAGGGTTTAGGGTTTAGGGTTTAGGGTTTAGGGTTTAGGGTTTAGGGTTTAGGGCATCAATCACACTGGAGCTTGCGAAGACATCTGAAGCATCACAGAGCCCTTTGCCTAGCAGATGGAGGTCTTGGATGTCGCATGTTGTTTTTTTCGGGCTTGCTCACCAAAACCCAAAACCCCAAACCCTAAACCCCAAACCCTAAACCCCAAACCCTAAACCCCAAACCCTAAACCCTAAACCCTAACCATGCAAGTTGCATCTACCCTGAACCCTAAACCCTAAGTATGATGGGAAGTGCTCGTGGCTTTAATGCCGTATCTCAGGCCCATGACATGACGCGAATCAAAAGAGCGAGTATGTTATGACTCGTCCTAAACCCTACAAGCCGATAAGCCCATTCTTGTAGGGTTTAGGGTTTAGGGTTTAGGGTTTAGGGTTTAGGGTTTAGGGTTTAGGGTTTTAGGGTTTAGGGTTTAGAGTTCAGGATTTCGGGTTTGCCTGGACGAGTTCAGCACCATGGTCTCCCTAAAACTTCGACCGGGTCTCTTCAATCTCGGTAGGCCTTTGGGACCTTTCATCTTTTCTCTGATAGGGTTTAAGAGGATCATCTTCAGGAAGACTTTGTCAGCGGGCTTTTCAGGGCCATCCTAGTCAATCTTCGAGGCTTAGGGCTTAGGGCTTAGGGTTTAGGGTTTAGGGTTTAGGATTTAGGGTCGATTCCTGAGCTTTCTTTGGACAAGCACCTGGGTTAGGGTTCGGAGCTGGCGACAGGTGTACAAGGCTGACAGGTTTTTAGGAACACCCTAAAGGTCCATGTACCTATGAAGTATGTACTGGGTCTTAACGGCTTACCATTTGACTTTAGGGCCCAGGCATGTACCATAGAAGTACATGGACCCCATAAGGCCAAAACCCCGCACCATGGACCCTCAGGGGAACACATTAGGGTTTGATAGGGCTTAGGGCCGTTTACGGCCTGAGAAGGTTTTGATTCACAGAGCTACAAAGGCGTTGGACCGCAGGGCCTGCTGTGCAAAGTTTAGAGTCTAGGGTTTATAGGGTCTAGGGTCTGGGGTTTAGGGTTTGGGTTTAGGTTCTTAGTCCTGTCATTCATTGCTAGCATTCGTGAGCTGTTCTGATCGTTCATATTGTTCACCTTCTCTTGAAGTAAGCCTTTGTTTGCAATAAAGGTCATGTAGATTGCTAGTTATTGTTATGTGATATGTGTCCACAACCATTATATATCAAGCCCTGATAAGAAGGGCTCAGAGTGTTAATGCTGTTCCTCAGGCCCGTGACACGGAGAATCAGTTCCTACTAGCTCCTATGTAGGCCCTATCTTCGCTTAGTAACCCCACGCCGACTTCTCTTTGAACTCTCGTAGGGTGCCCATTTTCAGACCCTAAACCCTAAACCCTAAACCCTAAACCCTAAACCCTAAACCCTAAACCCTAAACCCTAAACCCTAAACCCTAAACCCTAAACCCTAAACCCTGAACCCTGAACCCTGAACCCTGAACCCTGAACCCTGAACCCCAAGCCCAACAAACGCAGCGGGGCCTTGCGTTGCGAAAGGTGAGCCCTTCCCCAGAAACCTGTTGCAAAACATGGCGATGGCATGGAACTCCAGCAGCCAATCGATGGAGCGGTGCCCTAAACCCTAAACCCTAAACCCTAAACCCTAAACCCTAAACCCTAAACCCTAAACCCTAAACCCTAAACCATCCGCCTAAGACCCAGACTCGGCCCGGATTTTCTTTTTCGGTGGTAGTTTCCTTATCATCCCTTCATTTAGGGTTTAGGGTTTAGGGTTTAGGGTTTAGGGTTTAGGGTTTAGGGTTGAGGGCTCTGTGGTCTAGCAACCCTCAACCCCTAGCCCAAAACCTGAAGCCCCAAACCCAACAACGCCCTACACCCCCAGCCCTAAATCCCTAAACCCTAAACCCTAAACCCTAAACCCTAAACCCTAAACCCTAAACCCTAAACCCTAAACCCTAAATCCCAGTTCCTAAATAGGCCTCAAACCATAAGCCGTCACAAGCCCTAAACCCTATAAACCCTAAGGGAGTTGGAGTTGAGGATTTAGGGTTTAGGATTAGGTACTTCTAGGAGTACTTCTACATCGGGATATCACTGGGGCAACTGTGCTTCTAGCTCAAGTCAGGGCCCTTGTCCTGCTAGGTTCGGGGTGTAGAGTTCACAGTTCAGGGCCTAGGGTCTCGGGTTCAGGGTTCAGGGTTCAGGGTTTAGGGTTTAGGGTTTAGGGTTTAGGGTCTAGAGTTTCGTTTTCAGGGTTCAGGGTTTAGAGTCCAGAGTGTTGGAGTTCAGGGTTGAGAGTTTTAGAGGTTAGGCTGGGTTTAGGGCTTAAAGCTCTGCGATGACTTTACGACCCATCTGATTCTCTGACAGAGAGAAGCCGAAGCCACAAAACCCGGACAGATGAAGCTTTTCAGGCGACCCTACACCCTAAACCCCAAATCCTGTCTGAACCCTAAACCCTGAACCCTGAACCCTAAACCCTAAACCCTAAACCCTAAACCCTAAACCCTAAACCCTGTCTTCAGAATCCAGGGTTGAGGCCTCAGGGCTTCCGCTTTCTTTTGGGGATACGGATGCAGCGTTGTATCTAGGGGGGAGCTAGGCTTCAGGGCGGTTGAGGGTTTAGGGCTATAGGGTTGTAGGGTTATAGGCTTATAGGTTTGTAGGCTTACAGGCTTAAATTCTGGCTGTGTTTAGTAGGGGTTTAGGGTTTAGGGTTTAGGGTTTAGGGTTTGTTACATCACCAGGACCTTGCCAAATGTGGCCTGGACCAGCGGGAGCAGGCAGAAGTTGAGGGTTTAGCCCTGTGAAACCCAAGCCCGGGCCTAAAACTATTATTAGTCCCGTAACACCCTTTTTAGTCCTAGGTTAGTACTCCTAAACCCTAAACCCTAAACCCTAAACCCTAAACCCTAAACCCTGGATCTAGATTACGTGGCCGCCGTCTTATCATGGCCCAAAACCCCTAAAGCGAAGCCCCTCAAGCCCTCAACGCCTAAGGCCCTAAGCAAAGAAACCCTCTGAACCCCTCACACATGATGCAACGTGAGCTGCACGTGTACTGTGTGTGCAGGGTGCAGCCCGTCCTCTCCGCTGTGTGGTTGGTATGGATGAGGGTGTTGAGTGTAGGTGTTTAGGGTTGAGGGTTTGGGCTTAGGGATGTTTCAAGTGTTAGGGTCTGAAAAAGCATAGGCACATAAACGTATGTATATATATATATGTATACATATTATGTTTAAATTAATATATGGCCACATAGATGGGCAGAGAAGCGGGGATGCTTCTGAGTCATATTATGTACCTATTGCGGAGATGTACAGTATGTTGCCTATACGTATGTGTATTCCGTTGTCTGCTCGGTCGTTCGTCTCCAGCGAAGTATTGTACCTGTGATATCCTTACATATCTTCATGTCTTGTCACCAGAAACACCTAAGCCCCACGCCTGAAGCCACAGGTTTAGCTCGAGAACCTAAACACCCTTTGTTAGCACAGGGTCCCTAAGCCTAAGCACCCTAAACCCCCTAAACCCCTGAAGCCCCCTAAGCCCTAAAACCCTCAAAACCCCCAAACCCTAAAACACTAAACCCCTAAAACCCTAAACCCCCCAAAACCCTAAGCCCTAAACCCTAAACCCTAAACCCTAAACCCTAAACCCTAAACCCTAAGCCCTAGTCGTGACCCAAGGCGATCGAGGAGGAGCGGTGGAGATGCCAAGAGCAGGCCCTGAGCCCTAGACCCCCGAATTTTCTAGGGTTTAGGGTTTCAGGGTTTTAGGGTTTTAGTCATAGCTTTCCAAAGCAATGCTGGATGAAACTGGGTGGTAGATGGGAATATGGTTCTGCATGGGCCCTGTGTATTTAAGGTGATTGCTGTGACCAAACAGCACAATCTTTGAGACTCAGCCTCTAGGCTTACAACTTTTAAAACGAACGGAGCAGACAAAGAAACCACCAAAAGACTCATGAGTATTAAAGTTAGACCGCACATTGGCACCGGTCAGCCATTGTCCTTTTTTCCACATGAATCTGTCGTTTCAGGCATTGGTCTTGCGCCTTTTTCGTTTGAGCGCCTCTTGCGCCCAGGTAACAACCATGAACCATGCTTGCAGCATGGAACGTTGTCGAGCAGGCATCAACTGGATTGTCGTTGCACCTCTGTCCAAAATGTCTTGCTGGACCTCGGGGTTGTAACTTGCCGAAGTCGACTGCCTCAGTCTTTCTTCTTGCATCACAAGTCGAAGGACACATATAATTATTCCCTACACCTATGCGATTTGTCAAAAGATTGCTGAATTCATTGCATGTGATACTTGCCCTCGTGGGTGACATCTGCTGGAAGCCGGACTTGGAAGTGCGGCAAAACCTTGGCCTTGTGCTGCACGTGCCACGGGACAACACCATCTGGCACATCAAACATCTCGCGGAGCCAGGGCGGGATCGTTGTGGCTTTGCTCAGCAACTTCCTGCTCTCCCTCTGTCTCTCCTGTGTCTCGTTCTGGGCAGGCCTCTGTGAGCTTGAAGCTGCCTCACCTGTTTCCCTGCTGGCTGCTTCCATCTCAGCCTCCTGCGCAGGCTGCTCTTGCTCTTTGTCGCTGCCATCCTGACAGGGACAGTTTGTGAAAGAAAACGCTGGTGAAAGCTCATGTTCCTGTAGAAATCTACATGTTGGCACCCTACATTCAGGCACCGAATTGGGCCTGGTTCACTATTACCAAGTACTCACTGATGGGTTGCGATAGCAGCAGACTTCAAAGCTAGGCTGTCTGCATATGGGGCAGTACGTGTTTTGCACCTGTCCTCTTCACCTTCGCCCATTTCAGACACCATCTGCTGCGCCAGCATCATTCCCGGATCCTGTTCATTCATCTCTGCTTCTTCAGCCTTAGTGATATTTGTATCTGTATTTCAATGTGTGGTAAACAGTGGATGAACAGGCGGTGTCCATACTGTTTGCAGCCTTGTAGCTTCCTGAGCATCCTCTTCTTCTCCGTCAACATTGTCTGGCACCTTCATTTTTCTGCGCTTCTTGTCGTGCTCGTCCAGGGCCTTGTCGAGTGCAGCTAGTTCTTCGTCGGTGCAAAACTCCCGGATTTCATCAGTGGCCATCAGCCCACGAATCTTGGCTGACTTTGAGGAGTTTCGTCTCATCCGAACAGCGTAAGCGTCCAAGAGCTTCGAGAGTCCATCTGCAGTCACCTTGAGGATGCGATGGTCCCGAATCAAAGCAGCCAGCAATGTGTGGCCATGCAAGCCTCGACGAAACAGGAGCGATGCTGCCAATTTGGAGGTCAACCGGCCCTGAACCCAGTGCATTGTGAAATCGAATATCTGGACCTGTTTCGCATGCTTCGAAAATCGAACAATCATCACTGCAGGACACTGAAGTTCAGGGAAGCCTTTGACAGTCATCATGAAACATCCCATGCCTTGCGAAGGTCCACAATCATCTCGTGGATCAGGGGGCTGAGTATTGCAAACAAGGCAGTTAACAGCAAAGCTTGCGACATCAACTCTTAGACATCATTGCCGACACAGCAGCCGTCGCGTGCATATGGCCAAAGAATTCACTGCTTCACCATCTTTGAGCGGATCCCGCCCCTTCACAGCAGCATCTGCCATCTCCACCTTCCTTTCGTCGTTGAGCACCGGTGGCAAAGGTCCCTTGAACTGTATGTCTGCCTCCTCCAGCATCACGGCCTTAGTTTACACCATGTCCAAACTCAGATTTTTTTCGGGCAGCAATGCCATCGAGTGCAAGCTTGCACAGTAGTGTGCGGATTAGCCGCAAACTAGACGAGGATTGTGTGCGGATTAGCCGCAAACTAGAAGGGGATCTGGACCGCTACATTTACACAGTCTAGATGAAGCAGCTATATGTGGACCAGCTGCGTGCACCAGGGCAGGCGTGGTCCCCAGTGCTAGGAACCATTTGTCTGCTGTTCTGAACAGCATGCCTGCCTGAAGCAACCCACCAACCCAGAACTGTTCATCGTAGCACTGGAAAGGATCCATTCCTTGCCTTGGCTGACAAACAAAGTTTGTTAAGGATTGCAAATGTAGTTTCAATGCAACTATAAACCAAACATCAGAGAAGGATCTCCGATGCGAGGATGAAGGCCCGAAGATAGTTGAGGTTGACCTTGTTGTGGTAGAAGGCCGATGTGCTGCCGAAAGGCTTGAGGATGTCTTCCATGCGGAACAGGGAGCCTGCAGCGATAATCGGTCATGAGACTGTCATGACACGGATTGGCCTTAAATCATTAACTACAGGTTTTCCACGTTCGGCAATGTCAGTACACCCGACAGAGTGCACGCAACAGTAAACGTCTTCCTTGAATGAGGACAGGTGCTCCCCTGAAAGGATTCCGGCTTGAACACGTTCGGCCGAATGTTTCGGATCTCTTGGCCTTCAAAATCAGGCGGGGCCAGAGCCACACCTTGAGGGCTTGCGTCTCCCTGGCACAACTTGCGGTGGACAGCTCTGATTGCGGAGCATTGTATGTTGGGCAGGCTGGGGTTGTTGCTCTTCATTGCCCGTTTGACTGTGTCCTCCAGGCCGTTGAAGACACCTTCCACGTTCGCGGAATGTGACACCTTTGGATGCCAAGCCAGGATCATCTCCCGAACATCGTCCGACATCTTGAAGCTGTGCTGCTCCAGACATGTCAGCGGCTCGCGAAGGCAGCGGAAGCGGGTGTGTGGACAAAGTTTTTTCAAAACGTTGTTCATCACGGGGTGCTCTTCCAAAGCCAAGATTGTCTGCCATTCCTTTTGGCACTCTTGCAGCACCCGTTCCTGCACTTGCTTCTGGTAGTGCTCAGCGCCATCGTCCGGAAGAACCAGCAATGCCAGTTTGGCAGGCGAGGAACGAAGGTAACGAGCGTACATTGTGAGCTCAAACAGAGCTGCCATCCAAGTAAGCACATAATCGTTCAGCAATGCCTCATCGGTGGAGCCCATGGCTGCTTTGATCTCGAACACCTTAGTTGCATGGATTTCACTGCGATAGCTCCCAAAGCAGGTTCCAGTGGCTTGCTTTCATTCTTTGTTGCGACTTTACCCTCTGCTAGTTCAGTAGCAACTAAATCCATGCCAGCAACACCTTCTACATTCACCTTCTCTAAAGCAGTGTTGTGTATATGGTTTCTGCAGGAATGTAAATTATCACCACACGCTTAGCAAATGGAGACTCGCTTCACTAAACTGGAACCAATCCTTTAGTTTGCGTTCTCATGTCTTTTATCCCATGTCAACGTTGTCTAGGACATTGGCGTTTTTTATTCGCCAGTAGCAGAGCAGATTAGCTGCTACGCTCGAGTACAGGGCAGTCTCCATGCCAGTAGGAATGTAAGTCTAAGTGGGGAAATTAAATGTTAAAAAACCGAAGTTGCTAACGTATCGACCTACAAAGTAATTGAAACAAAAAGTGCCTTGTTATAGTGAACACCAAGTATTGTTGTTACACGGCTACACTCCGATTACATTCCTTAGACTTGTGATGTATCGTGACTGCTGGCTCGCAGTGCCCCACCTGCGTCTTATGACTCTGAGCTTTGTTTGCTGTCCTTCCTTGTTATGCTAAAACAAAAACACACTGGCCTGCCTTGACCGTTGGGGAAAATATTCCCCTCATAGCTTAAGCTTCATTCACCACTACTTCAGCGACTCTTTCGGAGCATGTTCTCTAGCCTTGCTGCTTGGCGGTGTGAGCCAGTTGACTTGTACGCAAATCCCTGGCAAGAAAAGAGTGTTCACACCTGAATTTGTCGAATTAGAACTAAGCGAATTATGATGCAGCTCAAACTGGCAGACATTGCTCGCTTCAGATCACTGTTGCGTCTGACTCCACACTGGTTCCCAGGAACTCTGACATGACACTGTACAGGTGGGTGGTTTTTTGTCTCCACACACAGGCAGCTGCCTCACGTCTTCTCTTTGATGTCGTGTCATCAAGTCTAGGTGTCACAGGAGGGCTCACGTCTCGGCCCGTGGCCTCACGAAACCTTGGGAGATTCGTCATCACGTACACGTACTCCGGTTTCCTCTTGTGCGTAGACAGGAAGCGTGCCCACTTGGCCAAGCGAAGAACTTGTTCTGGACTGTCAGTGGGTGTTTTTTCGGCCATGGCTGCGTAGTGTCGGTTCCCTACACCTGCGACTCCAGAAATGGTTTTTTTTGAGCTATGGAGCCTAGACGCAGGCGTGTCAGTTGCACATATGTTTCTTCTGTGTGCACAGACACTACACGTCTGCTACATTCGCGACACTTTGCACCCGAGAAGCCTGCACATCCGGCGGCGGCGTTGCCATGATGACATCGCTCGGAAACTTGAGACGTTTCAGAGCTCTCATTGAGAAAGCTTCCTCAGTCATTGCTTTGATGCTCTCCTCGAAGCCGGGCCCGTTCACGAAGAGTGTGTGTCGGTGCAGGGAGAGAAGATCGTTCACCGAGCGTTGCTTGGCTGCTTGTGCATTCTCTGACAAAGCAGCAAACCGGGAAGACAGTCAGAAAAAAACAGATGCGTGCAAGAGTTCTTGGTTTAGACAGTCCAAGAAACCAACTTCAACGTCATGTCGCAGAATGGGTTGCACAGGGGCTTCACCGCCTCATAGAGAGCGTGGCCTGTCTCATCCAAGAGGGCCTGCGTGTGAGTTCTGGGCGCATAGCACGATCATGCAAGGTTCAACCAGCACAACGTGTCCTTCATGCACAATTGCATGACCCGCTCATACTGCGAGGACTTCTCGTCAGTGGGCTTGGCACAGTCGGCAAAGGGGTTTCTTCCTTCCTTACTTTGTTCAAGCCAGATCACCTGTTCTTGCAGTCACCCCGAGTTCCAGACAAGAGGGAGGGTTCATTGCGTGACGAGTTTCTTCCATAGCTGTCCATAGCATGACAAGCAAGGTTCCCGTGTACTGGAAAGATCTTGCAGTCATACCCCAGCTGCACCATCTCTTGTACTCGTGCAGGGTTCCCGTCTTCCTGCGGCTGGGTTGTGGAATAGCTGTTTACAGGTTCAGCGGGGCATAGTTCAGCTGGGTAACTTGTAGTTTTTGTTCAAAACCTGCACAACATTGCTGAAGTTCTGCTGCATGTCGTCCGTGTAAGCGATGTTGTTCCTTAGCTATTTAAGGAAGAGCACATTCAAGAAGAAACATCCATGAAACGGCAATTGCCAAGAAACTCAGCCAGGATGTCTGCGGCGTACAGTTGTTGAAGGACATCATCGGCATGCGCCTCATTAGTGTCACAGAAAGGATATTGTTTCGAAATTGAATTTGTTCTGCAAAGAGCTTGTTTAGTTGCGTGACAGAACTGCTGCACACAGCGAAATTATACATTTCAGGGAGTTACTGTTCAGGAACGCAGTCCGGGTGCGACGTCCAAGTACCGTTGCAGGGCATCCTTCAGCGATGAATCCATCTTGTGTGTGTTCCAAGGACACTTGCGAGCTCGCATGGCCCAAGCTGTCAAGGCCTGCATTCCTTACTTGCCGATTTTTTTCAAGAAGACTGACAGAGTCGTTGGTACTGCACGAGCGGCTTCTAGCTGAGTTTCTGCGGACCCCCTTGGTGCTGGACAGCATTCTGTTGAAATGGGCATGAATCTTGTGCCTTTCATGCATTGAACCATCAATCAAGAATTGCACAGAACAAGAACTGAGAATGTTCAACCTTACTTTTTCCGAGCTGCAATTCGTCTCTGTTGAAGCCAATGGGGAGGTTCCGCATTGCGCAGAATTGCCACGCCGTGTAGAGCGGACCCCCCTCGTCCGGCGACAAGATGATTCTGTTGTAATCATCCTCTGCAGAAACATCTGCCCAATGCAACTGGCCGGTGCTCAAGTTGGTGATAAAGGGCCGGCCATCATAACAATCCCTGCGCTCATTCTCCAGCGGGTTCACAGCGTCCAACGTGCTCTGGGGTTCTTGCACGGCGATTTCACACAAGGAAAGGACGTGCAGGACAGCTCTGAGCTGCTCTCGGGAGGCAATGCGCTGCTGCCTGATTCTTGCCACAGTTTTTGGCCTTGGTTTTTGGCATCTGCTTGAAAGTACTTGCGATAAACGCAGCTTGCAATTAAGTGCTACAAAGGGTCATTTTCGCAGTTGTGACTGCCGTTCCTTCCTTGCCAACCATCTTGGACGAAATCTGATCTGAAAGCTTTTGCAGCTCTTCCTGTTTAATTTCTTTGTCCACCGTGCTTGCATTCAAGTCCGACATCTTCTGCAAAACCCAGCACACAGCTGTTTCGTCGACAGTGAAGATCGGGACAAACAACTCAGTTGTTTCGTTACAATTTAGGAGTGATGTACCAGAAAAGGAAACCCACGCGTGTCCTGAACCCATTCTTTCAGCCATGGCACGTCCATGCGGCCCTTAGGCGATGTGTCGCACAAGATGTTGACAGATTTGAATCTCATCTTCGCGAGCACCTGTTGTCACGCATAACCACAGACAACATTCGGTGTGTCTGTTGCGTGGCAGACCTGGTGCACAACCGTGCAAGCTTTGCGACAGTATCTCAACATAAAGTCGGAGGCCAACCTTGGTCATATTCATCAGACACACAAACAGAACATGTGTGCTTGGCTACCTATAGGAATGCAGGAGAGCGGCCGGTGGGTTTGCGAAGGACAAATGTCAAGGAGGCCCAGGTCTTGCAAGGTGCTGTGATCCGCTTTGGATGTTGCCAAAGCCGAGGATTTTGCAAACCAGCGGTCCAAGCACAGAACATGCTTTGGCTTCATTTCTTTTTTCATGGTTCGACCGTCCCTGCAGCAGCATCAGGCACATGTTGTAATCCTCAGGAGAAAAGTAAACATGTAACGTTGCTGCCCCAGCCTCATTGCAGGGTGGAAAGCATCCCTGGAGCTGGGCGGTGGCATTTCTGTCCGAAGCTCTTCCATCATGCGGCCTTCCATAGCCTGGGCCAGCGTGTGCAGCAGCCTCTTCTGGACACGCTTCACGGGCACATCCTGGGGAGCATTGTTTCAGGAAGACTGTAATGTTCCCGTTCGCAAGAGTGTCTGTCCTCTGCACACGTTTCCTCGAAACCCATGCGCATGATGAAGAAGATGACCACAGACAACTTGACTCCTGCAGTGACGGAAGCTTGCAGGTCGGTAGTGTGTGATTCGCTGGGAGTTCATGGCTTCAGGAATGGCAAGAAATCTCCTGCGGTCAGTGCTCTTTAGTGCGGGGTCAAGTTCTTGTTTTTCCTCCACCTCTAGAGCACAAGCGTAGCACATCACCAGAGGCAGCTGCATTTTTGGAGGCTTCAGGGGCCTACTAGAACCAAGGAGCCTTCGTTTCCATCCCAGATATTCCAGACAGTCCTCCCAGTCTTGCAGATCAACTTCATGGTCGCGGCAGCGAATGCAACCTCAGTTTTTGTGATTTCAGACAAAAGACACGCCGACATGCAAACCGTGTTCCTTGTTATAATCCAGTCGAACTCAGCAACATTTTGCAGCAAAGGGTCAGGCGGGGATGTTTGGCAGGATCTTCAGAGTAAGCTCTGAAGGACAAGCGTTTGCAATCAGCACATCGAGGCCAGTCGTTGCCCCCTTCTTCAAGTCGTTCTTGCAACCCTTCACTTGCAAGACGCATACCACCTTGGCTGCGGAAAGAATCACAGAATCCATATACAGGACCAGCAGCAGTAACATATCATCTTGCACACGGGGCGCGAGGAACAATGCCCCAAGATTTGTGACAGCGTCACAAGACAACTGCACTGCCTGATCAGACAGCCGGACCTGGCTGCCTTTGTAGCCGGCTTGGCGGGTGATGTGGACGTCCAGATCTATGGCCCATGCCCTGGCCATTTCTACCGTCATGTTGTCTCGCCTCAGGTATACGTAGATATGAAAGCTAGTCAAGCAGAACTGATAACTTCACGTCTTCTCCTTTGGCCAAGACACAACTTTGTAAACCAATTGAAGAATTTCTGTTTT